AAAGTAATTCACAAATAAATTGGTTTGTCCTCGCATATAACCAATAAGCCCAAAGCAAACCAGTCATACATCGTAACCAAATTTTACCAGACTTAGAATGGAAAATGAGGTCTTTGCAATAAATACATGTTTCTTCTTTTTACCAGTTGATCCTTTGGTCTGTTAGAAAAAGTTAGAGTGAAAGTTAAAAATCAATTACTTTTTGCATTTATCAATTTTCTTTTTTCTTAGCTTTAAATGAACTATCCTGTAGTTCAAAATAGTACTATGTCATTTTGTCTATTATCTATCTATGTCATTTTGTCTATTGTCTATGTATGTCCATCAAACACCTGATAATTGCAATAAAATTGACTGAAATCTCTAGTACAGGCATAAGTTCATTTTAATATAAATTGTTGAACCCAGTATAATTGTTTGAATCGATTATACTGCAACAAGATTGTGACAATGACTCTCAACATTTGACAGAATTGTAATTATGGTTTTCTCAAGGTTAAACAGCTGGGAAACTTTACTAAAATTAGCTGATTTTTAAATAAGACCACTATGTTATTTTGTCCATATATACCATTCTTTCCATATTTCCCCTGTATTAAATAATAGTAGTTGTGTAAACATATTCATAAAAATGAATATAATAAAATGTTGTAATGACCATATTATGGCATGTAGAAAATAAATATATACTATTGAATAGATATTTTGTATGATCTCTCATACCAGACACTTCCGTCACTCTGAGATGTATATAATTTATATTTGCATTCAAATAAATAATAAGCATTCTGTAAATACTTTTTTGGGCAAGTATGTATAGGATACTGGAAACATTTTTTTGATTCTTTTTTTTTTGTTAGATAAATATTTTTAAAATAAAAATAAAGGCTTTGAGAACACAACACCATCTGGATACTGACATTGGTTAAACAACAGTTTTATCTACCGTTAGAATCATAATGTAGAATAAGATATCTTTCCAATCTTACAATTTTTTTTTAATTGGAATTTTTTGTTACTTTGAATAGGTAAGAATAGTCTTCAAAAATTTAATTAATGATGATACAAGAATAGTTAAAGTTGACATAAAGTTTAATTTGGATTTATAAATAAGTAGGATTATAATATATTGACTTTTTACCTAAACATGTTGGGTCTCCTCCTTTTGCACTTAATATATACTTGTTTAAAAAAAGTGTGCATCCGCTAAAAAAGTACCACAGCATCAGGAAAAACAAGGCTCTAACATTATAAAGCCCTTCATAGTTTTTTGTCACTATTGGAGTCAAGGGTCGCTTTTCTGATATTTCCATAATTTGTCAATAAAATACTTTTTTCATAATAATATAAATATAGTCTCAAACATGCCACCGGTTTCGATGAATTCAGTTACAAAATATGTGATTGTCTATATACTGCCTATTGCTACGACTTGAAGTCATATTTGAGATTTTTAGAAAAGATAATTACTAATCATTATTATCTCAAGATTGATCTTTGCAATATGGATTGCCTTGTAAGCACGAGTAGGAAAATCATTACACTTATTATTTGATATACACGTTGACTGACACACGTTTACTTTATCTTATGCCAAAAGCGACTGCTGTCATTGTCAAATTGAGCAACTTTCAGAATCTAAGGAAAATGGCGGTAGATGGCACAACTGCATTTTTCGTTGATCATAAAGCGTAGAAACATAGATGAAAGGAGAGTAGACACTAAGAGTAGAAATCACGAAACAAATGCTCTAAAATTTTTTAATAATATTATTTTTAAAATATATTTATTTTTTTAAGAACATTTTTTATTTCTAGAAATATAATTAATAAAACATAATACGATTGCAATGCAAAATTTGGGTTCAAATAGCCGATTATTAAAATTTATTATTTTGCTTTGCCTCCCTCTCCGATCTTAAATTATCAAATTGGTTAATAAGTTATTATCAAATTTGGCAATTTGGCTAATATAAAGTTTCATAAACGAGCTGAAAGTTTAAAATATGTTCTTCAGATCTCGAGTCCTTTTAGGACGACAAATTTGTGCACTTCCAAGCTTATAGCGCCGAAAAAAAATTTAACTAAGTAGTGACGCATGGCATTGTTCCATTAATTACTGCAAATTACTGGAACTTCTCGTACTGAAAATTACATTTTATAAAGAGCTTTAAAACTTTTAGAAAAATGAAAAAAAAACTCTTTAAAAAACTTTTTTTTATATGTATATTGAATTTTTTTGAAAATTATGAACTTTTTTCAAAGCAATCGCACTACGTAGCCGTTTCAGAGAGAACATATCAAAACCCAACTACTAGTTTTCGAAACGGCTGGACCTGCCTGTGCCAAAAACTAATAAGCAAGTCTCCCCATCAATACAAATCTAATACTTTTTTAAATATTCAAGTCGATTTCGAAAACACGGATCAACCGATTCGAATGATTCAATTCCTATTGATAAGGAGACGTGCTGATTAGTTATTGGCCAAGGCAGGTCCAACTGTTTCGAAGATACAGACCAAATTGCCAAAGACGGTAATTCGGTTTTTAAGAAACGGAGCGTCCAATATCACATTATATTGATAAAATTAAGAACTGCTTAAATTTGTGGGAGGCAGGTCTATGGGTTTCGGTGATACAATAAAAAAGAATTTAAAAAAAACCTTTGGCGGTCAAAAGTGATCATTAGACATATGCACATCAAATTATCAGGTATTTTATAGATATTTTAATAATAAGTATGAATTTTGTTTACATTTCTATAGTTCTGTTAGACTGCGACGCGACGCTTACGCGCATCTATATTTTGTCTCTACGCAGCTGAAGCAGCGCGATTGCTTTAAAAAAAGTTCAAATTTTCAAAAATATTTCAAAATATAAAATAAAACTCAAAATTTTCAAAATTTGTTTTTTTTTAAGTTTTCAAAAAAATTTTTTTTGTTTTTAATTTTAATTTTTGGTAAGTAAACAATTTAAATAAAATTTCAGGGCACCAAATTTCTAAATCCGGATTATTGGATCATTCAAATCGGATGCTCCGTTATCTCAAAAACTCGATTTGTATTTTCTGCACTCTTTGCTCCGTTTCTCCGAAATGACTGGACCTGCCTTTGTAAAAAACTAATCACCACATCTCCCTATCAATTAAAATCGAATATTTTTTAAACCATTCAAATCGGTTAATCCGTGCGCCTCAATACGTGGGTAAAAAATTGTATCCATACATACATACACACACATCCATTTTTTCTGAGGTATGCTACAATGTTCATACGTGAATAATTCACGTCAATTCAGATTTCAAAACGCGAAGAAATGCCTTGCGGGTGGTTAAAACTATAAAGGCTCTACATTTATTTAAGAGTTTATGTTCCCACCAAAGAATGCAATTGGTTTAGCCAGCATTTTTTTAAGTTCTTTGTCAATTCTCAATCGTTTTTGACTTAAATTGGAAAAGTCGGTAAAGACTCGTGTCAATTAATTTTGCAAAAAGAAAAACTTAATATATCATACTCTTCTAATATCTATGAGTTTATGTTTTCAACACAGAATGCAATTTGCTAATTCAAAATTTACTCGAAGTTTTAGGTCATTCTGAATCGTTTTTGGCTAAAATTGAAAAAAGTCGTTAAGGAAACACGTCAATTAACTGTTTGTAATCAGTTTGTTACCATGCATTGGTAAAGAACTGCCATGATTTTAATGAAACTTTGCATACCGATACCTTTTTTGGGTCGTGCACCTTTTGCGCTTTCCGTGGAGGCCCTATTAACTCAATAACGACTTTTGTTTTAATTTATAACTGAAATGTTTATTATTAATAGTTGGCGACAATTTTGTAAGGTTTAATCTTACAACTACCGGTTCATGGTGTCCAGTAAACATCTTTTTCATGTTAGGTCTCGGTTATCTCGATATCGTAATACTTTTAGATCAGCATTTAGAATCCAGAAATACTATAACAACCTGGAAAATCGTAACGAATATTGTCAAGCATAATCCTTTCAATAGCCAGCATATAGGATCTTCATAAACATATTGCGACCACAAAACAAATGCCTTCATTCTGCAACTTACAAAAACATACAATATTTTTAACTATCCGAAGAAGGTCTTTATGTTTTCGCCAAAAAATTCGATTTGCTAATTTTATGTTTTTTCGACGCTATAAGCCATTCTGAATTGAATAAGACTAAATTTGGAAAAACAATGTATGTGTATGTGTGTGCATGTGAGCCGATTTTTGAACTTTCGTCGACATTTCCTTAAAAACGGCTAGACCGATTTCAAAAGTTTAGAAGCTTTTCGATGTAACTTGATAAGGACTAGCATTGGTCAGTTTTACGCTACGATCAGCCAAGCCGTTTCTTTGTAATTAACAAAAACAGTGTAAAAATTTTCGTTTACGTTTTAGCTCACAATCTTGAATTGATATTAAAAATTTAAAAACTGTTTGGCTGTTGAACTTTTTTTCGACAATTTTGATGAAAAATTTTGTAGTCGAAAGTAAAACACTAAAATGAACTTAAAAAGTATACAAAATATTTATAACTGTGTAAGTTGCAGCATGTGGGCATTCAATTTATGGTCGCAATATGTTTGAACTTGCTAAGACCCTGCTGTGAAGTTTACAGCCTCCAAAACAATCATATTTGATATTTCTTTTATATTTATTTATTAAAAAATAATTATATATACATATTAAAATATTTTGAGTGGTAACTATGCACTAAATATTTGCTAATTTTTCTAGAACTGAAGGCCATTGTAAAGTAAATTTATTAACTTTTTAATATATATAATTTATGACCTTTTTAATTCGACGCTATTTAATGATAGTATAGAACTGCTACTTTTAGACAAATGAAACTTAGAACAACAATGTATGATATATTAAATTTATCATGTAAACATTTTCAAGTTATCAATAGTGCTATTCTAAAAATCTTCATTTATTAATAATTTTTTCATTAAAAATTTAAAAATGATATTTGTTCTCCTCCTATATACCTGCAACATAAATCAATCATTTTGTTTTATCCAGAAAACCTTGATAACTCTCACAAAAAATTGTATGTGTATACTTGAATAATATCACCATTGATAACTGCTATGACGCCTATTTATTAAATTATGCTAGTCTTCCTACGATCTGGCCGCTCTTCTGTAATTAGCCCTACTAGGTTTTGCCTGTACGGCTATTTGTTGATTAGATTCTGATCCCGCGATATCTTCAGATTGAGCTGGTGCCTTTGGGCTGGCCCTTGATGAGAACCTAGATCTGGGTGAAGGTTTGGCAACTTTTGCTTCTGCTTCCTTAGTTTCTTCAGCGGGGCTGCTCGGTTCAGCTTTGTCTTTTGCACCCGTGAAACGCCTTCGACCGTTGCTTGCTAGTAATAATAATAACGATGGTATAAAAAATATATTTATACATAATATATATATATATATATATATATATATATGTATATATATTAGGGCGGGTCGATTTAAAAGTCGCTTAGGCACATTTAATTTTCGGATACTAGGAATCAAAATAAGATACTTTGCTGAAGAAACCATACCTCCAAACTAAATTCTGATGTCCCGTGCATTGACCCAAAAATAGGGATTTAATTTTGAAAAAATCCGTTTTAATCCATTTAGAGTGCTCCAATTGCGTCCAAATGTATGACAAACCCCAACTAACTTTGGAAGGCCCCTGGGTTCACCCCCTGGGATCTCCTGGGACTTAGAAGTCTCCCATATAAACATTGCAAAAAATCATCGTTTTTGGTATTTTACTCAGCAAAAAATGTGTTTTTTAAACAATTTTTTTCAGATATTAATTCATAAACACACATAAAACTTTTTTCCAAAAAAAAAAAATATTAAAATTCTTCTTTGTTTCAATTTTTCCAATGCATTTTGTCTCTGCGCTTCTATGCAAGCTAGAGGCTGTTATGCCGACGATATTAGAGAGCAAAATTTTCCATACTTGAAACTAAAAAAGACTTCAAGCAATAGTTTATAAGTTTTATATAGTTTTATTTCCATATTTTATGATTAAGTAAATTTTATAATAAAAATAAATCGCAGATTTTTGTCATGTAGAAGTACCCAAAATGATGCGACTTTTATATGGGGGACCTCTAGGAGGTGAACCATAGGCATGGGTAGATCGACCTTCCAAAGTTACTGGGGGTCGGTCATACATTTGGACATTATTGAGGCGCTCTAAATGAATCAAAACATGATTTTTTAAAATTTGACCCAATCGTTGGGTGAATGCACGGGACATCAGAATTCATTTTAGTGATATGGTTTCTTCGGTAAAGTATCTTATTTTGATTCCTAGTATACGAAAGTCATATGTGCCTATGTGACTTTTTTTACCTACAAATCGACCCGCCCTAATGTATATACTAGGGTTTGTCGGTTTTCAAAAACCGGTTTTAAAAACCGTTTTCTTGCGAAAATCTTGGAATTCGAAAACCGGTTTTTTAGTGAAAAAAGTCGGTTTTCACTGTATAAATGAAAAATGACAAATATAGCCAAATATAAAAGATAGATGAAAGCGTTTTGATTCTTCAAATCATATCGGTTCAGTAGCATTTGATATCTTGTCAGTCTGCAATGGTTTCCAGAAAGGTTTTGTATATATTAATTTAGATTTTTATACCAGTGTATATATTAATTTAAATCAGTGTGACTTTTTCTTGAAGAAGTAACTTCCTCTACTCAAACTTAAAAAAAAAAAAGTTTTAAACCCCAGAAGCCACAAATAAAAAAACAAAAAACTTAAAATTATTATATCAGGCTCCAAAAAAAATTAAGCATAATTTGGTCGCAAGTATGAGAGTATTTTCTATTTCAGGTAATTCTGTGAGTAAACAAAAGACACGTCTAAGTAGCTATTCGATAGTCGTTCTCAATTTTCTGCAATCATATTTTATTAAACAAAAAAAACAATTAGAATGTTTAAAATTAATTAATTAAAATTGCTCGAAACATGCAATACCCAAGTTTAGCTAAATTGTTTTTAAAACTAAAATTGATATTAACAAGTATGTATCAACATGTTTCTAATATTTTTTATTTATTTTTTCAATTATTTAAAAATGTATTTTTTTTATATATTCGAAAACTTTCCTTTTACTATCATAAAAATATTTTCATTCTTATATGTTAAAATGATGCATGAATAACGAATAATTATTTTCAAACTATTATTTTTTAGTTCTACTAATTAAAATTAAAATAATTTTGTTTACTATCCATAAAATTGAAATAAATAAATTCAGTCAAATACTGCTCTAAATTACACTAAATTTGCGGATAAATTACAGAATATTTGAGCAAAAATTTATTTTCTATATAAAATTCGAAAACCGGCTAAAACCGGTTTTTTAGTAAACATAAAATTCGAAAACCGGTTTTCTGAAATGTCGGTTTTTGTATAAACCCTAGTATATACATGAATGCGCGTATATAAAGGTTTTGCAGTATGTATGTGTATAAAAATATAATTTTTTTTTGTTGAGAAAATGAATAATAGTAATGGTTAGTTTCTGATTATGTCTATATATAAATAAATGTGATCTATATAATGATGATATATTTACCATTATTTGCTTTTGGCGCTATTTTCGGTGTTTTTGCTTCAGTTTCTTCCTTGGCTGATTCCGAAGGTTCATGGTGATCTACAGCATGGTGAGATTTACCTAAAATATTATACGCTTAAAATTAAATAATTATCAATTTATAGATAACAATAAATTTGAAAAAAAAATATACATCTTATTCGAATAAAGCTTCATAAAATTCAAAGGAAACCAAAGATATTATATTCTAAACCGGCTAAGAAATTTCTGCGCAGTAGTAACTTATAAATTATAACCAAGAAAAAGAATGATGTCAATATTTGTATAATCTAGATAAATTTTTGATAAATCGTAACTAAAAAAGAAAAGAATCTAATAAATTATGCAATTACCATTCTTAGCTTCTTCACGGCGCCTCTTGAGTGCGGCAAGTAGATCGTCATTGCTTCTAAAAGGCCTAACTACACCAGACTTAATGCCCTTCTTTTTTGGAGCTTCTGTCGTTACTACTTCCTCATCTTCTTCTGCGCCCTCTTCCACGCCTTCATCATCATATTCTTCTTCTTCCTAGAGAATTGAAAATCGGAAAAAATTAGTAATTTTATTTGTTTGTATCCGTATTTTTGTTATATTAATAACTTCCCGAAGGAGAAGTTTATGTTCTCATCAGAAAACCGATTCGCTAATTTTATGCTTTCTCGACGTTTTAAGCCATTCCGAATCGAATGAGACCAAATTTGTAAAAAGTATGTGTGTGTGTATGTAAATAGATTTTTTGCCGTAAATCGACGTTTTCTCAAAAACGGCTGCACCTATTTCAAAAATTTAAAAGCCATTGGATGTATATCGATGAGGACTAGCGTTTCTCAGTTTTGTGCGAAGATCAGCCGAGCCGCTTCTTTGTAAATTGCAGAAAAGTGAAATTTTTTTCGTCCACGTTTTAGCCCGCAATTCTGATATTAGTTGAGAATGATACTGATTAGTTTTAGGTGAAAATCTACCGAGCCGTTTTCTTGTAATTGACTGTTGAAAAAAATGTAAACCGATTTTTATGAAACTTTTATTGGCGGTATATATATTGTGGTCTTGCAGAACTTACTGAAATGTTGCGGCCTTACGACAAGTAGTTTAATTTTAAAAAATTACTTGTTATAGCGATAGATAAACTAAACCATTAAAGTCCTACGGAAACTGGTTCAATTATAAACTTTATTGATTTTTGAAAATTTGCTTTTTGAAAATACCCCGTTCGTAATCGTTCGTTTTCAATTATGTGTAATAAGGTCACTCGGAATACTTTTAATCGCTCATAAATTCATTTATTTTTTATTGACTAAGTTGATTATTTATATTTATACACATATCGGGAAGTTCATGTAACTTGCCTCAAGGCAAAATACCAATACCATCTAGTTATTTAAATATAATAGTTTGGAGAATATGTATATACATATGTATCAAAGTATAATACATATTTTATTAATAGGGTATGGCGGAAACAAAGGTCCAATTTGAATTTCAAACAAACAACTCTCACACTATGTTCAATAAAATTCCCAGTTAACGACAAATTATATAAAGATGTAGTTTTACAATTTTTCTGAAACTTTTCATCTGTACCATTTTGCCCTATAGACAGGGTAGAAGAAACAGACAAGGAACAAACAGACCACAGACTCAAAATCTTGTTTCTTAAACTATAAAAAGATTAAAAAAATACGTACCATATTTAAGTAATATAAAATACAAATTTCATGGAGTTATTTTGTATAAAGATTTCATTGTATATAACATTCGAATGAAATATTCATCAAAAGAGGACTAATGACCATGCTTATTTATCTATGCTAATAACTATTGGATTAATTTATTTCTTTCCAAATAGCTTTTATAACTAAATTTACTTTTGTATTTACTATTTCTTATTGTTTACATCAATGCATGTGTGAAGACTACGTTGGTCTTTTTTACTCCACCCTTTCATAGTTGAATCTAATTTAAAAATTATAATACATCTTACGAAACAATTAAATGTCGTATAGTTATAATTATATTCAAGTAAAATAATGAAAAAAAAAACTACCAACAAAAAAATATTTGAAATGAATATTGATGCATTTCCGTTTGTCTTTTGATAGCGGCGTCGTAAGAAAGATTTGCAAAAATTGTTTTGTCACATTCTATAAAATTTTAATTATACATTTCTTTCTATACCAAATTGTCGTTGCTTTTAAACCAATAAATGTAATATAATGTTGCAAAAAATATTTTCCGTCGCGCATGAAATTGAAAATAACAGTCAGAATATTTTATATATCAAACATGGTTGTGAACTTCATGCAGTTAGGTAGATCGGGGCTCAAAGGTCCGCGGACAAAATGGACTACCGCAATTATATTCAAAAAAATAAAATATTATTTTTGTTAACAATACTATGTTGAAGCAGAAGATAAAAATTGTATAACCAGTCATCACCTTAATTTATTAAGGTGACTAAAATTTTAACCCAATTGTATTGTAAGCTATTTATGGTAAGAGCGTAATGTATATGATCCAGTCACTTTTATCATTCTATTTACTTGTTAGATGGCAATTGTTCAAGCATATTTAAATAATAGATTTTTTATGCTATTTCACAGTTTTAAATTGCAGTTATTTGATTTAAAAACCACTTATAAATACAAAGAAATAACAGATAAATACAATATATCAATTTTTTCTCCATAATCGGGCGTAAGCGCTAAAGGCTTCTAGGCTAAATTAAAAAGCAATACTCATTTTACTAACCAAAATAAAATTTTTAAATATTGTTAATTATAAACCAATCAGAAGAAGCTATCCTTTTAATTTAATTACTATTAATTAAAATATAATATAATTATTTCCTTAGAAAGCTAATTTAACAACATTTAAGGTACGAAACACTGCTTTGCCGTATAATCATGGAGAACCATCATTTCACTAATTTACTAATTGTAATTAAAAAAAAATCATCCAGGCTTATGGCTTGAATTTAAAGTTGTCAACTTCTTTAACGTTGTTATAACAGATTAGAAAAAATCAGAAAAATATAGTTCAATTTTCAAAATTAAATTAAAATTAATTTTTACCTTTGGGGCTTGCGTCGTCGTAGTAGTAGTGGCTGCTTTAGAATTAGGCAATCCTGCACGAGCACCATTGGCTCTTCTCAAAAGCGGGTTTATTCTAGTTTTAGGCGCTTCAGCAGGTTCATCGTATTCATCTTGAGGTGTGGTATATACAAAACATACTAAACTCAGACACACCAACGCGTATAAAAATCTGAAAGTAAAACCATCTACTTAGTATCACTCTTTCACAGCAAATGAAAATAGCTTTTAATAGTGAAGACACAATGAAGATTATATGCAAGCATATGCTATTTGACTAATCAAAAAACGCATTAAACTATTCTATATAGTTAATAATCAAAAATGCATTTGAGCGGTTTTTATTTCATTTCATATAATCGGCATGTACTTAACCCTTGCGCTACGGACGTCGCCTTTAGGCGAAATTATGCTTAACTACCTGTATGTACAACAGCCCAGTGAATCAACCCTTACTTACTTTAATATTTATCATTCTAGGTAAACTAGTAGTGTATGGCATCGTGTCTTAAGGCAAATTGCAGGAACTTCCCGTAATGAAAATTAACATTCATAAAAAAGGTTTACAATTTTTTGGAAACTTTGAAATAATTAGATTTTTGAAAATGTTGACACGTTTGTGAAAATTTGACTTTTTGAAAGTTTTTTTTTTTTTGAAATATTGAAATTGGGCGCACCGTTCTCCCCATTACCATTTTAACATTTATGACACTTTTTGCACGGTCTCATCTATTAGTCTGGACCTGCCTTGGCCAAAAACTAATCAGCACGTCTCCTTGTCAATAAAAATCATTCAAATTGGTTGATCCATGTTCTCCAAATTGTCGACAAAAATTGTATCCACACACACATACATCTAAAATACGAAAAAACTAGTGGTGCATGGCATTGTGCCTTAAGGCAAATTTTCAAAAGCTTTAATTTTATTTGAAAATGTTGAAAAAAATAGATTTTTGAGATTTTTTTTAAAAATTTAGATTTTTGGTTTCAAAATAATCGCGCTGCGTAGCTGTTTTAAAAACCAAATATTGAAGTGCGTAAGCGCCGCGTTGCAGTTTAAAGTATCAACCTCGATACAGAACCCATGTACAAATTTTGTATACACTTTAGTAAACAAAATTTGTACTTAATCTCCGAAACCGCTAGAACACCCTTCCCAAAAATGTAATCAGACGCTCAGTTCTCGCGAAAACTGAATTACCATTTTTGGAATTTTTTGCCCCATATCTTTGAAACGACTGCTTATGCCTTCACCAAAAATTAATCAGCATGTTTCCTTATCAACAGGAATCTAATGCTTTTTGAATCATTCAAAGCGGTTGATCCGCGTTCCAGAAATTGTCGACAAAAATTGTTTCCGCACATATATACACAGATACATCAATTTTTTCTAATGTATGCCAAAAAGTTCAGAAAGATTTGAAACGTAAAGATATAAAAATTTTCATTTTTGATTACTAAAACTTACAAAAAGTCAATTTTTTTGTAAAAATCTAATTTTTTCAAAGTTTTCAAAACACGTTCTTATTGATTAGTGAATGAAAAATTTCAAATTATGTTGTTGTCCTCGGTCTGTTTAGTAGCGTTCTGGTAGTTCTGGTCTGCTCGCTATTTCGTACAGCAGTGTCACTACTGCGCAAAATGCTTCCTTATCGATAGGGTTAAATTAGAAGTTAAACTCCATTATTCCATTGATGATAAGAACATACTATGCGTAGTAATATTGATTGAAGTAGATATGTATATAATATAAAAACGTTTAGGATCAAACTTCGGATATTTATTTCCAAAATGTAAGTTCAAATTTTATAAATGAATTTGTGACATTTTAAATTATGTATAATTTTATAATTTTTGAATTAAAATCAATACAATCGTTTTTAATTCAGAATTGGATTAAATAATCGTGTATAGAATTTGTATTTGTACCCATTAGAAAAAGATTGGAGTACTGTTGCTGTGTAAAAACAAGCATAAGTGATGTAACGATATATTTAATATTTATAAATCTGTTAATAAAAAACCCAGTTGAAGAAGCTATGGAATCTCGTGTGCATCAACTTTCTCCTATGTTATTGCGACACTTGAAACGTGCAGTATCCCTGACCTATGACCCGACAAACTGCCATACTACTATCAGACAAGAAACCGCCCTTGGATTTGTCTTTACGGTTAATTTAAAATATCCAAATTCACTTGTAATTAAAAGCAATTAGCGACCAAAATGTATTTCGTGGGGAAAAATGTCTCAGTCAAATATATTAATATTTTATGTTGTAGCATATATTTACAAAGTAAAATATGTTATAACATGATTTGAGCAGTAATTAAAAATAGGTTTTTATGAATTAATTAAAAATATTATTTGTTATAATCACCAAACTGTCTATTCATCATATATTCTAAATAAATTAAATAAGAATGTTGATATCTTAGCATAAATAATTTTTAATTTACTAAATATTATTAATTTCCCGTAGTGTAAGTAATATTAATAATAAAAAAATCGAGAATGAAAATTCAAAGGTTTCTGAACATTTTGGCATACCTTGAAAAAAAGAGGATGTATGTGTGTGTATGTTTGCGTGTGTGTGCGGATACAAATTTTTGTCGACGATTTCGGGAATACGGATCAACCAATTTTAATAACGCAAAAAACATTCGATTCGTATTGATAAGAAGATGTGTTGATTAGTTTTTGGCAAAGGCAAGCTTATATGATTGAAAAAACATTCGGATCATACTCGATCGCGAGGCGTTTTACAAAAGGCACGTTTCGATGGTACGGAGCCGTTATAAGCACTTATAAATTTACAGTATGTATTTAATAAATAATCTATTTGAAGTTATTTAAAACAATTATTGATTCTTTTCATTCCTCGAATGTTTTATTACCGTACGGGAAGTTCAAGCAATTTGCCTTAAAGCACGATGTCATGCACCACTAGTTAATTTGGTACTTCAGTAATCTCTTCTGCAATGTAACATTTTTCAACTACCATAGGACTGTAATAATTAACTTCTCAAAGTAGAAGTTTATATTTTTGCAAGAAAATTTGATTTGCTAATTTTATGTTTTCTCAACGTTTCAAGTCATTCTGAATCAAATAGCACCAAATTTGCAAAACATATGTATGTGTATCTGTATATCGACGTTTTCTCAAAAGCGGCTGGACCGATTTTGGAGTTTGTCATTTTTGCGCGATTATCGTTTTTTTTGTAATTAGAAGAAAAATGTAAAAATTTTCGTGCACATTTTAGGTCACGATCTTGAACCGATTTTGATTATTCAAAAACTGCTCGAAACACTTTGTATGGTAATCGCGTTGATTTTGGCAAAAATCGGTTGGGCCATTTCTTCCTAGTTAAATATTGGATAATTTTTTTTTGACAATATCGATGAAACTTTGTATAACGATAGATTTCGTAGTTTGAAATAACATACTAAAATTTTAGAGAAGCTGTTGAATTATAAAAATTCACCAAAGTTTGGATTTGCGCCCGCGTTTAAGCGATTCTATTAAGAATCTATGCTCTTCGTGCACATGTGATTGATACTGATTACAGTTTCCTTTCAATCTATGCCCTTCGTGCACATGTAGCTGATACTGATTACAGTTGACGTCGCCACCAAAATGGATTAAATTAATTATATTAAACAAATTTCAATTTATACAATTACATACATTATAAGTATGTTTGAATAACATCAATTGGAAATCGTATCGATTATTTTTTACTAAAAGCGAAACTTTAATTCTAAACAGATGAACAGTTTTCTATGAACAATTATAATAGACAAGAGTATGTATTTTCAATTTCATCGCATTTATTACTAATATATTATGAAATAATATAAGGACTATAGATATATAAATAATATAACGCACCTTGCACACTTCCTAATTTTTATTGTTAAAACAAGTAAGACTAAAATAATAAATTTTAGAAAATTTTACATTTTACTAACATTTTTATTTACATTTAATTTTTTTCGACATCAATAAACTCGTTCTCCATTCAACTATATTACGTTGAAATGTCATGGCCTTAAAGACCATTTCTATTCAGTATATTTAGAAATATGTAGTTTGTTTCAAATATCTTTAAGGCATTAAAAATAATTTACAACCATTCATATAAGTAACAAAATATTTATAAAAATCAATCCGGTGGCGTGAGAAAGAAATTGCGTAAATTTTATATGCTTCATTGGAGCATCAAAGATAAATATATTTGTGTAATACTTAAAAAATCAATAACTCTCTAGTTTTTATAATAATTAAAATGAGCTATCGTTAGTTGTCATTAACAATTAGTTTTTTAGAGTTTTTCTTCACAATATCTTTGCAGCCAAAAATCTCTTAAAGCATATATTTTAAGATATCAATTTTAATATTTGCTATTACTACTAGTACTATTACTACAATAAATACATGATATTTACAAGAGTGTAATGTATGCTCTTTAACACTTCATTTAATTTCGGTGATTTAACTTCTATATTTGTGTTAAAGTATTTATTGCAAACTACAAAAAAGCACATACATACATTTTCACACGCATACATGATGGTTCCTGGTTCGAAGCCATCCACGGACAGCCTGATGTCAAGTAGTAGTGACATCGGTTTTCAAATGAAAATATAGATCAGCTTCTGCTTCTGCTTCTACATCAGCGATAACTATTACTACCACCAAATATAATAGGTTGTAAGTAATAACAAAACTTTAAAGTGTTTGGAATTTTACTAATTGGGAAGAACGTGGTGCAAGTATCAGAGATATAGCCTTGCAACCAAAGTTCCGAGTCTAACAATCAAATTCCGCGACGCTTGCAACCCGATATCAAGCAGTACGATTATCCATTTTTACTCGAGACTATAGATTATAATATATTTCTAAGTGAGATTATAATATATTTAAAGTTTTGGAGCTGTTACTCCAAAACTTCAATATATTATCACAATCAAGAAAGAACAAGCATTAGGTTATAGAGAAAATGAAACAGGAGTAGACTATTGAAACGTTGAGTTGCCTTCTAATGAATTTTACTTCCCTTGAATTTTCTTCTAATAGCCATCTACAAATAATCACCGTAAAAGCTTATAGTATTCCTAATTATAATCGCTGTTCACGAATAAAAAGTAAAAAATCTACTTG